TGCGGGATTATATTCTCAACAAACGCTATGAGGAAGAGGAGGAGGAAGAGGAAGAGGAGGAGGAAGAGGAGGGGGAAGGGTGAGCCTCATGCCTCCCAGGGCTGCACCTATATCTCCTGAAGTATTGGCCAGGAGTGAAAGGCACCTTGTGCTTGTTTTTTTCACACAAAGGGAGAGAAAGAGCCACAAAGTATGGGCTCTGGAATCCTGTGGCACTGGTTTTAATCTTGGCCCTGTGCTAGAGCCCCATGCCTAGGTTCCCTATAGATAAAACAGGTAATAGAATCACTCACCTTGTAGGCTCTTGGGAGGGGGGGTTAAATGAGTAGATTCTTCTGGTACCCGCCCATGCATGTGGCCCAACCTATCTCAGCTGACTCCCCCAGCCTTGCCCTGTCCTGCCCTTCAGGGTCCTCAGCCCCCGAGTCCAACTGGCTGTAGAGGATTCCTCAGATGAGGGGGAGCTGTTCCTGAAGAAGCAGGAAGACTTTGAGCACAAATACAACTTCCGCTTTGAGGAGCCAGACTCGGCCTCGGTGTGTGGCCAGGGCCGGGGTCAGGGAGGCCCCAGACCTCGGTTCCAGGCTGGAGAGCCGCAGGTCATCTCTCTGGCTCTTCTGCTACCCTCAGGTCAAGACCTACCCGCGAACCATCGCATCCTCTGTGCGCCGCAAGGATGAGCGCAGGAAGGAGAAGCGGGAAGAAACCAGGGAGCGAAAGAGGAGGGTGAGTGGGGGAGGCCAGCTGGGGGTGGCCCAGCCCACTAGGAAAGCCCATGGCCTGCCCCCTTCCCATAGGAGAAGGCCAGGAAGCAGGAGGAGCTAAAGCAACTGAAGAACCTGAAGAGGAAGGAGATTCTGGCGAAGCTGGAGAAGCTGCGCCAGGTGACTGGCAACAAGACACTGGGCCTTGAGGAGCAGGACCTTGAGGATGATTTTGACCCCACCCGACACGACCAGCTTATGCAGGTGCGGTTCAGTCATGGCATCAAGTCCTCACGAACTTGACCAAAATCAGGTTGTTTCCTAGCGTGTGGCCTCAGAAAAGGGACTTGCTCTTTCTGAGCCTCTTTCCCTGATTGAAGGTGGGTCTAACAGTAGCATCTACCCCAGGGCCATTGTAAGGACAGACTGGAAAAAATTAACATTATAGCTTAATTGGGGGCTGGGGTAGTAGCTCAGTGGTGGAGTGCTTGCCTAGCACAGGTGAGACACTGGGTCCATTCCTCAGCACCACATAAAATACAGGCTGAATTCTTTTTTTTTTTTTTTTGTGAGTACCAGGGATTGAACTTGGGAACACTTGACTACTGAGCCACATTTTGTATTTCTAGCCCTATTTTGTATTTTTTTTGGAGACAGGGTCTTAGAGTTTACAGAGAAAAATCCTAAGTTGAACCATTGTCAGGGACCATCCGGATCTCCTTTCAACTCATTTTTTGAGCAGTTAGTGTTTATTGCTGATTATGAGGGAACACGGCTCAGGGGAGGGCTTTATGGGAGAAGTCATGAGCATTGCAGGGGCCCCAGTGAGGCCCTGCCTGAGCCTGGGGAGCTGGAAAAAGGCCTGAAAACTGGAGCTTCTCATCCCTGAGCTTTGTTTTCTGAGATGGAAGTAGTTACTCTCAGGGTGGTTGTAAGAAAAAAGAAGGATGCTCTCCAGATTTGGACATGTAGTAGGTGCTTAATAAATGATGCAGCTCACAATACTTGCTTTCACTAGACCTCCATTGGATGCTGGGGTTCCAGCAGGGGCCTTATTTCACCTTCGAAATGGTGGGATCTTAGAGGAGACCCCTGACCAGACAACTAAAATAAGTCCTCATGCCTGAGTAGCAGTTAGCCAGCCCAAGACAGGCAGAGGGTGCCACAGAGCAAAGACTTGCAAGCTAGAAAGAACTGGGTCTGTGGAACATACTGGTAGCTAGAATGACAAGGTAACCAGCAGGGGTCAGTGAAGGGTCCTGAACCCCTAGGGTCCCTTGCTTTAGGAGGTAGGTCTTGGGAGGGCACTGGGAGCCACATAGGGTGCAGGAGTAAAGGTGCCAAGGGCATTGTTGGCATCATCATGGCTTCCTGTGAAGCAAGAAGGCCCTGCTGACCCCCAGCTCTGACCCTACAGAAATGCTTTGGAGATGACTTCTATGGCACTGCAGAGGAGGAGAAGCCACAGTTTGAGGAAGAGGAGGGGCTGGAAGGTGACATCACCTGCACAGGAGGCTGGGGTAGAAGTGGGGCCTACAGTCCAGGTCCCACCCTGACCCCACCTTTCTGTCCTCTCTGGAATCAGAGGACTGGAACTGGGACACATGGGATGGACAGGAGGAGGATGGAGCTTGGAGCCAGCAGGAGCCACACTGCGAGGACCCCGACTTCAATGTAGGTGTCACCAGTGGGGGATGTCTCAGGGACCTAGAGGGCTGCTGGAATCTTAACTTGTGTGTCTGGCAGATGGATGCTGACTACGACCCCAGCCAGCATCGGAAGAAGCAGCGAGAGATCCCCTCCACGGGCAAGAAGAAGCGCAAATCACCCTTTGCCACAGCTGTGGGGCAGGAAAAACCTGTGTTCAACCCTGGTGAGGCCCGATGGGCTCTGGGTGATGGTGGGACTCCACAGGGCCTGGAATACCCCAGCAACTTGGCTTTGTCTCCCCTGCAGAGGACAAGACCTTTGAGGAGTATCTAGATGAATATTACCGGCTGGATTATGAGGACATCATTGATGACCTCCCTTGTCGCTTCAAGTACCGCACTGTGGTGCCCTGTGACTTTGGGCTGAGTACTGAGGAGGTCAGGGCCTTGGGTGGGCATGGGACAGCAAGGGCACCCAGCAAGAGGGACCAGAGAGCTGGCCGAGGCCCAAAGATGCCACAATACTGTGGCCCATTTCTTCATCTCAAATATAATAATAACAATAGTGCTAATGTTGGCAATAATAACCTTACCTGTCTGAACGGGTCTCCATGAGGTCAAGGGCCAGAGGGCTTGGCACAGTGTCCAAGGCACAATCCATTATGCCTTTTTGGTCAGGGGTTGGGGGTAGATGGTGAGGATGGAACCCAGGGCCTCATACATTCTAAGCATATGCTTTTTTTTTTTAATACTTATTATTTTTTAGTTATAGTTGAACATATTATATTTATTTTCATCCTTATGTGGTGCTGAGGATCAAACCCAGGGCTTCACACATGCTTGGCAAGCACTTTACCACTGAGCCACAATTCCGACCCCCTAAGCACGTACTTTACCACTAAAGTTATTGCCCCAGTCCTTTTAGATGACTTTTAATTCTGTTAGTGTGTATCAGCAGTAGGTTGGACTTCAAGACTTGCTGGGGGGGCTGAGGTCGAGGCTCAGTGGTAGAGCACTTGCCTAGCATATGAGAGGCACAGGGTTCGATTCTTAGCACCACATATAATAAAGATCCAATGACAACTAAAGCAATTTAAAAAAAAAAAAAAGACTTGCTGGGATCTTGAATGAGCCCCTCCCACTCAAAACAACAAAAAGACTTGGTCTATACAACCAAATGGCCCAGGTTCAAGTCCTGACTAGGTAGCTGAGCAGTTGTATGAACTTACATAAATGATTTGACCACCCACACCTCAGTTTTCCCATCTTTAAATGGAAATAAATAGCCCCCACCTTAGGCTGTGAAGCAGAAATGAAATCCAACATATGTGGCTCTTTGAATAGCACCTGACAGGTTGTGAATGCCCACAAGGCCTAGTTTGACTATTGATTTATGGTCAGTCAAAATGGCCAGTGTTGACTGAGCTTATTCCATGCAGAAACACTCCCTTAATCTACCCAGTGACTTTCCAGGGGGTTCTGAAGGGATGCCCTCCTCATAAATGGGGAGGCAATCTTGGGAACCTGAGCTTTACCTTGGTTGGTAAAGGTAGTTGGCATGGGACCCCTGCCCTGCCTTTATTTGAGACTTCGGGGACAGCACTCTATGTCCCTTGAGGGCTCAGGGCTCTTGGGTTCAACCTGGAGTCTGAAACTAGCCAACTTCCTGGCCCCATGACCTGGAGCAAGAACCTCCTCCCTGAGCCAGTTTCTGCATTTGAGACCATCCACCAGAACCTCAAGTATCTACTACAGAAGTCAGCGCTCTCCCGCCATCATGACATCCCAGCTAGGTAGTCCTCACATGACCCTGCGTCCACCAATGAGGTGACTAAGGCTCAGGGTTTCCCTCTCCCTTCCACACAGATCCTTGCTGCTGATGACAAGGAGCTGAATCGGTGGTGTTCCCTGAAGAAGACCTGCATGTACAGGTGACGGGGCAGGGTGGGGCCAGTGTCTGGTAACAGGCTGCTGAGCCACAAGTATGAACACCTCCCAGAGCACAAGGTGACAGGCATATCTGCCCGGTACCTGCAGGTCAGAGCAGGAGGAGCTGCAGGACAAGCGGGCGTACAGCCAGAAGGCCCAGAACTCTTGGAAAAAGAGGCAGATCTTCAAGTCGCTCTGCCCAGAGGAGTAAGTACGGCTGGGTTGGTAACCTGGGACTTGGGTTTGTGTCACTTTGTCAGCTACTGATTGCATGATCATGGCAATGGACTTCCCTATCTGAGACCTGTGTTCCAGTCTTACCTGCACCACTGCTGGGTGATCTTGAGCAAGTCACTACCCATCTCATCTATAAAATGGACATCGGTTGGGCTGGGGATATAGCTCAGTTGGTAGAGGGTCTGCCTTGTATGCACAAAGCTATGAGTTCAATCCCCACCACCACACACACACCCCCACACACACACACACACACAGAAATGGACATCAGTTTATGGTTCTTATTTCATCTGGTTGTTGAAGATTGAGTTAATCTATAAATGTTTAAAATAAAATATAGAGGGCTAGGGATGTAGCTCAGGGGGTTTAATTCTCAGCATCAAAAATCTAGAAAATGCTGGGGCTGGGGTTATGGCTTAGTGGTAGAGTGCTTGCCTCACATGTTTGATTTTCAGTACTGCGAATAAATAAATGAGTAAAATAAGCGTCCATCAACAACTTTATGATGTTCATTATTTCCCAGTATATAAACAGGGGTAGTAGAAGCTCATAGTTCATTTAAAATTTTTTTTTTCAACATGGGGAATTGAGCTCAGGGTTTCACACAGTTAGGCAACCACTGTACCACTGAGCCACATCCCCAGCCCTTTATTTAGAGAGCATATTGCCGAATTGTCCAGGCTATCCTTGAACTTGAGATGCTCCTGTCTTAGCCTTCCTAGAATATGGAGTTATAGGTATGTGCCATCACACTCAGCTACATCATAGTCCATCCTTAGTGTTCAGTAAGAAAAACTTGACTTTTACATCAGGCCCAGGTTTGAACCCCAGGCAGGGCCTGAATCTCTGTAGATGCTTCTTCCTATCTATAAAATGGGGCTGTGGCTGGGGGAGGGGGGGGTGGTGCTCAGGAGCAGGTCATGACTGGCCTGGCCTGATCCCTGACTTTTTGCCTATAGGACACAGACGCAGATGTCCACAGAATCCACAAGGAAGCCAGAGAGAGACAAAGCTAGCCCACAGGGGCAGCTGCCAGTGCCTGATGGGGCCTGTAGGAATCAGCCCCAGGCAGAGAGCCCCCCAGCACAGGAAGAAGAGGTGTCTGTTTCACCCACTGAAAAGCCAGCCCCCCAAAGACGGAAGAGGAACAAGAAGGCACGGCTATTGGGCCCCACTGTGACACTTGGTGGCCATGAGTTCAGCCGTCAGAGACTTCAGGCCTTTGGCCTCAACCCCAAAAGGCTGCACTTCCGCCAGCTGAGCAAGCAACTAAGGAAACAGCGTGGGCCCAAAAGCTGCCCCTAAAGATCATGGAGCAGGCAGAGGCTGGTGGGCTCCTTCCCTGGGCCAGGTCTTCCCTCTTGCCAACCTGTGCTATGTACCTGCTCTGGAGAACCTCATGTCTACCTGCAGGCAAATGCATCATCCTCTCTTAAAAGATGATGAAACTGAGGTTGGCTTAACTTCCTCAAGTGGCTTAGAAACCTCACCTTGAACAACCTTGGACCCCACATCCCCTTGCAATGAATGCTAAGCCCAGCCATTTCCACATTCAAGTTCAGCAGCTTTATTATCCCCCAGCAGCCAAAGTTCCCTTAGAAGGGGGCTTTGAGAAAATGAGGGGCACAGCTGGTCCAGTGCAAACTACAGTACTTGAGTCAGGCCCTGAGTGAGTGCCCGGGAGTCCTCCCTCGCTCCCTGCCTGTGAGGAGGACCCAGCTGGCAGGAGGCAGGCTGCCTGGGGCTCATCCACTGCTAGAACAGCCCCAGCCCTGCAGAGTCCTAGACAGGTCTCAGCCGGGTTTGTGGAGGGGGTGAGAATGGGGATCCTATCACCAGAGTTCTAGATCCCATATCCAAGATGACATAAATAAAAAAATAAATAGTATTGCATCTTTCCCCCCCATCCCATTATAAAAACACAAAGTCCTCGGAGCTTGGCCTTTTGGCCTTGAGGAGGCGCCCTGTGCGAGGGGGGCGCAGAGTGGCTGGCTGGGAAAGCTGGGAGCAGAGGTCATCCAGGCTGTGGTCCTGAGCGTGGCCCTCCGCCAGGGTGAACATGGGGTACCGTTCTGTGGCTGAAGAGGAGCTGAGAACCTGTTGGAAGGCAAGAGGCTCAGCCTCTTAACAGTAACCAATCCCAGAGCCCAGCAGTCAAGGGCAAAGGCACGACCACTCACAAACAATGAAAATGGCCCTGGGATATCTATAGGATCTACTACAAAAGCTGAGCACCCCTTCAGATGAACAGGTATTGAGTGTACCTGGAAGGACTAGTAGCCATATTATACCACAATAAGGGTACTACAGAGACCAAAAACAGGTGAAGTTGATGCAGCTGCCCCCAAGGCAGTAATGCCCCAAGCCTTTTAATTCACACCCCATTTTACTGTCCTCAAATAAAAGCTGAGGTTTTTCCATCTTGTAGACACCATAATCCTTGCCAAATTTTTCCTCCCAGTAGTTCTAGGGATAGAAGTCCAGCCCTTGCACATGCTAGGCAAGCACTCTGCCACTGAACTACATCCCCAGCCCTTTTTTTTCAGTACCAGGGATTGACCCAGAGGGGCTTAACCACTGAGCCACATCCCCAGCGCTTTTCTGTATTTTATTATTGCTCAGGGCCTGACTAAATTGCTGAGGCTGGGTTTGAAGTTGTGATCCTCCTGCGTAAGTCTCCCAAGACACTGGAATTACAGGTGTGTGTTACTGTGTGGAGCTCCTCAGCCCTTTGAGACAGGGTCTTGCTGATCTGCCCATGTTGCTCTAACTTCTTATCCTCCTGCCTCTGCCCACTGAAAAGCTGGGGTTATAGCCGTGTGCCACTGCCAACCACAGGCACTTCACTGCAGAGCTACATCCTCAGCTATTTTTCTTTTGAGTCTGGGTTCAGAAGTTGCTTAGGGTCTGCTAAAGCTGGCCCCAAATTTGTGATCCTCCTGCCTCAATCTCCCCAAATCACTGGGATTACAGACATGATCACCACATCTGGCCTAAAGGGAGACATTCTTTACATTTTCTAGACTATCAACACCCAGCCTGCACCGCCAGGTCTACTGGACTCGTCTCTGTTCCTCTTTTAATCCCAGTCCTGCCCTTGCCTCCCACCTTTCTTGCTCACCCTGGTCAGCTCCGAGCAGAGCTTCTCAAACTCCTTCCTGTCTCCAGCATAGAACCCCACGGTACAGCTAGGGTCCATCTTGGCGAAGGCCATCTTGCGGGGTGAGGTACAATGGAAAGACTGGGGCAGAAAGATGAGGGAGGTTCAGAGGAGCCCAGCCGCCTCTCCATAAGCCCAACCCCACCCTGGGGAAACCAGCTCACCTCCAGGGGAAAATCAGCCTGGCTGACATCCACTGTTGGCTGGCAGTAGTGGGGGTCCAGGTAGAGCAGGAAGTCATCTGCAGGGAGCCAGACATGAGCAGGGGAAGGGCAAGGAGGTGGGGAAGGGCACAGTGGGGCAAGGCCTACCCTGGTAGCCGATGAAGTACAGTGAGTGTCGTGGCTTGCCCCCCATGATGCCTAAGCACAGTTCTGACCGCAGTAGCTCCTGCAGGGAAGAGGGGGCAGAAGCAGAGGCTGGTGGCATGAGGCAGTCACTCAAAACACTTAGCAGACACCTACAGTATGTAAACCCAGTCCTGTGCTAAGCCCTGGAGAAGTAATAATGATTAAGATGAACACACCCCTGCCTCATGGAGCTGACATTCTAGTGTGGGAAATGAACAAGGAAGATGAACTACTTATTAGAGGTAATAACATTATGGAAAAGGATAAAAGAGGAAAGGTGGCTTGAAGTTTTATTTACTTATTTTTTTTGTGTGCTGTTGGGGAATGAACCCAGGGCCTTGTACACACTAGGCAAGTGCTCTATCACTGAGTTACAAGTCCAGCATAAGACTTTGCAATTTTATTTATCATTTATTTACTTATAGTACTGGGATTAAATCCAGGGGCACTATACCACTGAACTATACCGAGCCCTTTTTAAATTTGAAACAGGGTCGAAGTTGCCCAAGCAAGACTTGAACTTGTGACCCTCTTGCCTCTACCCCCAAGTCACAGAGATTAAAAGTGTGTGCCACTGTGCAAGGCAGACTTTGTGATTTTATTTTATTTCAATTTATTTTTTTTAAGTACCAGGTATTGAACCCAGGAGTACTTAACCACTGAGTCACATCCCCAACCCTTTTAATTTATTTATTTGGGGGAGTACCAGGAATTAAACTCAGGGGCACTCAACCACTAAGCCACATTCCCAGCCCCATTTTGTATTTTATTTAGAAACAGGGTTTCACTTAGTAGCTTAGCACCTCAGTTTTGCTAAGGCTGGCTTTGGACTTGCAATCGTCCTGCCTCATCCTCCTGGGCCACTGGGCTTAAAGAGGCACATGCCACCATGCCTGGCTCTCAGACTCTGCAATTTTAAACAGGGAAGTCAGCTGGACATGGTGGCACAAGCCTGTAATCCCAGCAGCTTGGGAGGCTGAGCCAGGAGGATCGTGAGTTCAAAGCCAGCCTCAGCAAAGGTGAGGTGCTAAGCAACTCAGTGAGACCCTGTCTCTAAATAAAATACAAAATAGGGCTGGGGATGTGGCTCAGCGGTCAAGTACACTTGAGTTCAATCCCAGTACCAACAAAACAGGGAAGTCAGAAAGGCCTCATTGAGAGGTGAGGTCTCAACAAAGACCTGGGGGATTAGAGAAGGAGGCATTGGCACGGCTAGAAAGAAAGCTGTCCCAGTACAAAGGGAACAAGTACAAAGGTGCAGAGGCAGGGTGGTGTGAAAACAGTACAGAGGCCCATGTGACTGAAGCAAAATGAGTGACAGAGGAGTCTGGGTGAGAAGTTCACGGAGGTGACAGGAACAAATGGTTCAGCGCCTTGTGGGCTGCGGGAGAACTCTTGAGTGCAAATGCATCTGGGTTTTTCCAGCTCCTGGGCCTTTGTCTTGCTGTTCCTTTTCCCTGGACCACTTCTCTGGTTCCTCATTTGCTTCTGGGCTGGGCAGGGGCTTTCCCATGCTCCACAGCCATCCCATGCTCCACAGCCATCCCATGCACCCGTATTGGGGAAGGTTCCTTCCCTTTAGAGTCCAGGGCACAATGCCAACTTCTTTTTCTTTTTGTATATGGACACACTATCTTTATTTTTTATTTATTTTTATGTGGTGCCAGGGTCGAACACGCGTGCTCAGCAAGCACTCTATCGCTTAGCTACAACCCTGGCCCCAACAATGCCTTTTTTTTAATTATTTTTTTTTTCCTTTTTGGTGTGCTAATAAACATATGGTCTCCCACTGAACTACATCCCCACCCTCTAATGCCAATTTAATCACAGATCATGCCCCTCCCACTGGGCACATTCAGAATTTCTGCCTGTTCTGTTCCTCCCTGGATCTCAACACCCAGGACAGCAAGTGGCACATAGGCACTCCATGACTACTGAAAGAAAGGATGAAGGAGACACAAACTACGATCCAAACCCAAGCTAAAAAGGTTGGAGGACTCCCAGGTGGAGATGCCAGAATCTGTGCAAACCTACCTTTACGCAGGGCACGTACACTGGGTTGAGCGTCTCACCACCCAGTCGCACAGGCACCAGGATGACCACAGACTTCCACTCAGCTGTAGGGTCCGACCTGGCCATCAGGCGTGCCACGTCCGCCTTATAAACTGGGGGGATGACAGGGCAGCAGTAGGTCACCTTCCTACCTACCCTTCAAGCCCTGGAGGATGGCCCTCAAACCCCAGGGGCCCAACCTTATCTGTACAAGCTCCTGGTGAGCAATAACATCATTGTCAGCCAAAAATTTCTAGTGCCCTCCAAAACTGCCAGACAATCCTGGGACCTCCAGGCACATGTGGATATCCCCATTTAACAGAGAGGGCGAGTAAGACATGGAGACCAAGAGCATAAAACAGAAAGCAGCAGCCTCTCCTTCTAGGTCAATGCCCCTCTAGTGTCCAAAGTTGTGCTGGCCCCCAGTGACACAGCACCGTGTTTTGCCTGTATAGAAATGGGAGCACCAGGCACTTTGTCCCTGTGTCCCTCTTCTACAAGTCCACTCTTTACTCTTCCCCAACCCCCATCTCCTTCCATGAGGCCTCTCTTTCCTGGCTCCCATAAGTAGACTCAACCCTTTTTGGAAACCCCATTCTCTAAAAATAAAATCTTGTCCCAAACACCTACAATTTTGCTTGAAAACTTACAGGTTATGCAGATTCCCTGACAGAAAACTACAGTGCTCCTGTCAAGACCCTTTTTAAACTGATTTGGAGGGTAGTGGGATATTATAATAATAACTACTACTTAGTGAATATTGGCTTGTAAAAAGACTGCTCTAAGTGCTTGTATTATTGCTTGTATTATTGATTCACTGAATCCTCATGACAACTCTCTGTGGCAGAGGAGACCAGACAGACCTCCAAATGTTATAATCGTTAGAACAGCAAGAGTGAATGGGACAGGGGAGAGGGAGAACCTTATGTTTCTATCAAGGTGAAGCCCCTGAAGTTTCCTCTCCTGGTTCTATAAAGAGGCAGAAGAAAGGGACCCTGTATACCTCTAAGCCATGGGTCTAGAGAATCCTTCCCAATGTTCCTGTGCCCTAGAACTTTTTTCAGCCTCTGAAAAAGGTGAGTCCTAAGGGGCAGTTAAGGCAATGACTGGCTCTTAGCCCCTTACCTGTGCAGTCCTGAGAAACATACACTACCAGGCGGGTGACCTCTGAGCAGCTCTCCACAGCTTTCCTAGGGGTAGAAGGGAAGGCCTGAGTTCCTGGGGATACATAGCAGCTCCCATATTCCCTGCAGCTGTCCTCACCTGAGGATGTGTGCCACCAGCGATGGCCCATACCAGTCACCCGCCTTCTTGCCTGAGCTCTGTCCCAGCTCCACCAGCCGATGTAGACCGAAAGGGGCCTGGGGGTGGTCAGCAAACCAGGACACAATCTGCCGGTGCCGACGTTCCTGTTCCAGCTCAGGGGTGCCCTGAGCCCAGTGAGGGGACATCCAGCGGGCAGGCCCACGGTACCGGCTGGGAGAGGCCACCCCTGACAGCTCAGGGGGAAGCAAGCCTGTGCCCTCGGCCCATCTCCAGTCTGGTGGGGATGGAGTACATAGTCAAATAGTGCTAGTGTGTGTATGGAGGGACACAGTTCCCATTTATTCATATTTTACACACAATTGTGATACTTCTGAGAACCATAAATTTAACTGTAATTTTCACATGCCTGGAACTCCATTTTTTTCTTTCTGTTTTTCTGGTGATACTGGAGATGGAACCCAGGGCCTCACACATGCTAGGTAAGCATCCTACCACTGAGCCACACCCTAGTCCTTTTTAAAATTTTACCTTGAGACAGGGTGTTGTTAAATTTCCCAAAACTTTCCATCCTCCTACTCCAGCCTTCCAAGTAGTTCAGACTTCAAGCACGCACCATTTCCCTTCTGAAACTCTTATTTTCCAAACAACTCTCACACTCCCTAAAACTAATCACGTAACACACCATTCTAACATGGCTTTAAACACTTTGCAAACAGTTTTAACACTGCTGACACATGGTTGGCATTATACTCCTAGTATACCCCTTCCTCTGCAGGCTCACCTCTGGGGAGGAAATGCAGTAGCAGGCCCTGGGCCAGCATCATCTGGCCACTGCGCAACATGCATCCCCAGCCACAATCGGAGGTCAGGCAGCCCCCCGCCAGGGGTGGAAAGTCCCTTCGGTAAGTGAGCCACAGGCGTGACATAAAGTCTCGCTGGAAACGTTGGATGTCACCTACAAAAGCAGACCTGTCAGATGCCATCAGGGACACCTCTGGAAGCCTACCCCAACCCTGGTTCCCAGCCTCATGCTCACCTTCACCCTCAAAACGGTAGCGGCGGCCACAGAGGTGAATGCTGGAGATCTTGCTAAAGCTGGTCCGGCTTTTAACCGCCCAACCTGAGGAGACATGAGGTAGCCAGAGAAATGAAGCACTTGATTGTCAGCAATAGGGGCTTCCATTCACCTATCTGTGAAATAGACATGACTCTGGTTCCTTATTTAGGGATGCTTCTGGAATATACATGTAACACACTCCTGAGGAGGTGGAGCCCCTGGTAACAGCCGCATGTGTGTCCACCAACAGCTCGGTCTGAATTACAGCAGTTCTGATTATTGTACCCATTTTACCGAAGGGGGAAATGGAAGCTTAGGGAAGCAAAAAAGCTTGCCCAAGGTCAAAGGAAGGAATGGGCGGGGCTTGAAACATTCCCTGTAGAACCTGCCCTGGGTCCACCTTGGGTTCGGCAGGGTGGAGACCCACAGGTGACTCACAGAATGGGAACAAATGGTGGAATAATCGGCAGGAACGGGATTTGATTTTCCTTGAGTCCCTCCAACCCTGACCTCTAAGCCCCCTCCTCACCATATTTGACGTTGTTCCAGGCAGTCAGAAACTTGGCCTTGAACTTGTCCACTTCGTCCGGCTCAACTGGGGCAGCTCCAGGAGAGGCAAGAGTGGGACCGCTGGCTCCGGAGGGCCCCAGGCCGTTGGGGTCCGGGACTCGAGGAACCCTCGGCCTGCGGCCCTCGGGCCGGCGCGCGTCCTCCGGGCTCCCGCTCCGGTACTGCGCGGCGGCCGGCGACACCGAGTTCATGGACGCGCCAGGAGGGCAGACCGAGGATCCGGGTGGGGGCTGCGGCCGCCGCGGCCCAGGACGCCCCGCGGCCAGGACGCAGGCTCCGGGGAAGGGACTACTCGGCCCCTAGCCCCGGGCTCCCGGGAGCAGCGCGAGCTGCCGCCACCGATACGGCCATCGCCATTTTAGCGGCTCAGGCCCCCGGATGGAGGCGGGCGTAACCCGGCCGCTCGCCCCACCCCGCCCTGACCCCCGTGGGTCCCCCGTCCAGGCCGCCCCGCAGGGACTCGAAGACCCAGAGCCTCCCCGCGCCACCCCCACGCCCGCCTTATCGCACCGCCCAGGCGCGCGCGAGCCCCTGCGGGCCCTTATCAGAAGCCCCAGAGCCGAGAAGCCCCGCCCCGAACACGCCCCCAGGACCGCCCCCCAGAGCCCCGGGGGCGGGACCTCGGCGAGAGGACGCACCTGCGGGCGCTTCTCCTACCCGCGGAACGCCCACCGCGGCTCCGGCCAGGACCGCCTCAGCCCGGGGGCGGGTCTTCCGCGTGCGACCCTCGGAACAGGCGTTCCCCTCTGTGCCTCAGTTTCCTCTAGTGCAAAATAGAATTCGAATACAGGTGTCCACATGAACGAGTGTCGAGGGCGTGAACGCCCCCTAGGCGGGCTGTTCAACCCAAATCTGGGTGTTACCCCCCCCACCTTGTGCCCCGCCCGGCAAGCCGAGGCCTATACCTCGGTTTGTCTCTTTCTTTCTTTTTCTTTTTTTTTTTTTTTGGTACGGGGATTGAACCCAGGGGCACTTAACCACTGAGCCACATCCTCAGCCCTTTTTTGTATTTTATTTAGAGACAGGGTCTCACCGAGTTGCTTGGGGCCTCTAATTTGCTGAGGCTGGCTTTGAACTCTGGATCCTCCTGCCTCAGGCTCCGGCCTCAGCCTCTCCAGCCGCTGGAATTATAGGCAGGGGCCACCGTGCCCACTGCTTCTTAATGTGCATAATGGGTTCTGGGCTCCAATGCATACCAGCAAAAACACAAATCAATCATCTTTTCTTTATTTATTTTTTTTAATGCTGAGGACAGAACTCATGAACTATCATGTGCTAGGGAAACCCGCTAGCCCTGACCAACACTCAGAGGGAGGAGGCAAACGAAAGGAAACCAAATGCTAATACCTCCAGAGCCCTTACCCTGGTTGTCAAGGTGACCTGCCTGCAGAGAATTGTTTCTCCTACACGGGGCTGTTATTGAATGCTCCCTTCCAGCCTGGACCCCAGGGTAGCTTCATTCCCCTCCTTGGATCACTCCACCTTTGGCCACCTTTGGATGAGCAATCACTTTGGTCAAAAGTCACATAGGATAGAGGGGGGAGGCCATGAGAACAAAGAAATTCTAAAATGCATGAAAGGGGCAGGATACCCTACTTCCTCGGGTACCCAGCTCTGGGACCCCTTCTCTCTCTACGGAGAAGTCTCTCTCTGCTCTATCCTTTAAATAAAACTTGCTCTCTGCGCTTGCATCGGCGTTTGTTGGGTGTTCAATCTTCACATCTGGGGAAACAGAACACGGCCCTGATGGAAGGACAGGCGGTATCAAAACGAACCTTCATATGAGTAATGCCACCAAAACGAACCTTCATATGAGTAATGCCTGGGGAAAAAATCCAGTACCCCCGCCCCCCCCCCCAAAAAAAATACATACACTATAGTTCTATTTAATATAAACTGGAGAAAATGCAACTCATTGTAGTTCCTGAAGACAGATCATTGGTTGCCTGGGGATGCGAATAGGGAGGAGGGAGAGGGAGGAATTTTAAGAGGCCTAGGGAATCTTTTGTGAAGGCCTGGGCATGTACAATACCTGGACTGTGGTGGTGGTTTCTCCAGTGTGAGACCTCATCAGATTATACACAAAAATGTGTGTGGTCTATGATACATGAATTATGCCTCAATAAAGCTTTAAAAATTTTAAAAGCCTCTAACTCATAAACTTGTTGGAGGATGAGCTGAGTTCATCCTTGTAAAGTGCTTAGCATGACATTTGAGGGACAGTTAGGGCTCAGCAAGAGCCAACAGCATGAGATGAGGTGACTCTGTGAACCACAGAGAGGGTGGCCTCTAGCGGCCAGTTGGAGGGTTCAGCCTTAGGAACCCAGATGAGGACTTGGATAAGGATGTGGACTGTGAAGAGCACAGCCATCTTCCTGACTTTCCCTCCTCTTATACTCCTCTCCACTCACTCATACCTGTCTCTTTTCTCAAACTAGACAGGTACAGTCCCACCTCAGGGACTTGCCTTCCCTCTGTCTGGGCCACTCTTCTCAGCATGACTCTTCTTCACTTCCTTCTGGTCTTTAATCAAATATCACCTCCAGGGACTGAGAATGTACTTCAGTGGGAGAGTCAGCAATGCCCTGGGTTCCACCTCCAGGAACACACACACACACACACACACACACACACAATGATTCTAATGTCACCCCCCCCATGGGTGACTCTCAAAGTTCTGCTCCACCCACACCCCAGCCTCCCTCCCTGTTCCCGGTTTTATTTTTTTTTCCAGAGCAGTTATTACAATCCCACTGTCTTAATCAACTTGCGCTGCCATCACAAATATTTAAACTGAACCGAGTGAGATGGTGCAGGTCAGTCCCAGCAACTCAGTGCCCCAGCAGGAGGATCCTGAGTTCAAGGCCAGTCAGGGGAACTTAGCAAGACCAGACCCCATCTCAAAATAAAGAGAGATAGAGGTGTAGCTCAGCTGTACAGACAGTGCTTGTCTGGTATGTGGGAGGCCCTGCGTTCAATCCTCAGCACTGGGCAAGAGGGGGGAGAGGGAGAGAGAAAGAAGGGGAAGAAGGGGAGAAGGAGGAAGAAGAGGAGGAGGAGGAGGGGGAGGAGGAGGAGGAGGAGGAGGAGGAGGAAGTGAGGGTGATGAAGACCACAGGGAAAAGGAAGGAAAAGGAGGTACAGGGGCCAAAGGAGAAAGCAGAATGGAGTGGAGGGGCAGCAACAAGGTGAAGAGCTAGAGACCAGCTGGTCAAGGCTGGGTTGCAGAGCCCATGGGTTGCTGAGAGGGGGCTAGGGGTCCTCCCAGCTGACACCCAGGCAGGGGTCCTTATTGCCTCACAAGGGAGAGATGGGCTTTGGAGGCCACAGATGACCTCACTGCTTTTGATCTGGCGACTCACCCCCAACCCCTCTGAGGCCTCAGCTGTTCCTCTGCTAAGGGAGGAGCCTGCACCCCGGGCCCTTTACTCTCCCTCCCCATGAGGACACCGGTAAGATCAGCTCATCACCTGGACCGCTGTCTCTAGCACACAGTCCAGTCACCACTGTGTTCCTCCCTGAGAGGTCTTCCAGGATCCCTGGCATTGGTGGGACCCTAACTGTATTGAATTTTGTCCCCACAAGCTTTTCCTCCTGTGCTTCTAGCCTCCAGGAGGCCAGATCAGCACTCCCAGCCTCTACACCTCAGTTGTCCTTGCACCCCTAAAGCAGTAAAATGACAATTAGTCATGATTGCCCAGGCAGTTGATGCAGTCAGATGGTTTGGAGAAGGGACCTTGCTTCAGTGTCTGCCAAATGGGGTAGTACCACCTCCTAGGCTTTGGAAAAAGGATGAAACAATTAACATCAAAAGCTTAAGACAGTACCTGGACCCCAGCAAGCACTTTGGGACTAGTTACTGTTTTGGGTTTTTGGTACCAGGGATTGAATCTAGGGATGCCTTATCACTGAGCTACATCTTTAGCCCCTTTTTATATTTTATTTAGAGACAGGAAGGAGCTCATGGAGTTACTTAGGATCTCACTAAGTTGCTGAAGCTGGCTTCTTTTTGGGAGGGAGGTACCAGGGATAGAATTCAGGAGTACCCCACCACTGAGCCACATCCCCAGCCCTATTTTGTATTTTATTTAGAGACAGGGTCTCACTGAGTTGCTTAGCACTTCACTGTTGCTGAGGCTGGCTTTGAACTTGTGGTTCTCCTGCCTCAGCCTCCAGAACCACTGGGATTACAGGCAGTGCACCACTGGCTTGTCACTGGTTTTGTTGTTATCATTCTTATTTCCACTGCTGCCCTTGTGGGGTTCAGTCCCTGTGATCGCAGACCTTGGCTTCCTGGCTCTCATTCTGATTCTTCAAATGCATATAGTAACTTGAAGAAGTAGTCTATTTGTGAAATTATTGTATTTTTCAATATTTATTTTTTAGTTGTAGTTGGCCACAATACCTTTTATTTTCATGTGATGCTGAGGATCGAACCCAGGGCCTCTCACGTGCTAAGCGAGCACTCTACCTCTGAGCCACAACCTCAGCCCCTTACGAAATTATTTTTATGAACAATTTCCACCAGATCAAAAAGGATCTGAAGTACCATAATCCAGCAGAAAAATAGCATGAGAAATATTTTTTGATATTCTAGTAAACCTGTTTTTTAAAAATAGAAAGAGATGTAGCTCAGGGGTAGAGCACTTGCGTAGCATGCAAGGAATCTCAGGTTCCATTTCATTCCCCAGCATGGGGTGGGGGAGAGAAAACAAGAAAAAAGAAAAATCAATTGATGACATTAGGACACCAACTCAAAATTCCACTTGAGTAGCTTTCAATAAGGTAGGATTTTCTCTGGGTGAGGATTTTCTCCGGGTGACTATACTATAGTGTGTGTACATTAATTTTATCCCAGGACTCTCAGCAATTCCAAAAATGTTTCCGTGCATCTCCACCCAGTTCCCATGCCCCTTGGTGAAATAAATCACACCCTGGAAATCCCTCCCAGGCTGAGCAGTTGCTGGAATAAATTTCACAGTCTTAAAGAAAACACAAATAAGTGGCTAGGCGCTTTCTCACAGTAGATCACTGTCCTTGTCAAACTTCCCCTGCTTTTTTTGGAGTCATCCTGTCTTGCCTCTTATGCATCAATTACACAATGGATGCGGGAGGTCCTGTTCAATCCCCAGCATTAAAAAAAAAAAAAAAAAAAAAAAGGACTGTGGCAAAAAGAAAAATCAATGGTCAGTGATACACTATAGGGTTTTGTGACAGAATGTTCTAGAAATGAGCTCTTCTCATTGCTGCCTTTTCGGTTGAAAGACTGTAAAATTATCCTTTCATTCAACACATGTATCCTGAATATTTACTTCATGTCAAACACTATACCAGGTGGAAGCTGTAGATACTATTGTCTCCTCTTTGGGTCTTGCATGTGGGATCTGAGAGATAAATGATGAACT